CTAAAAATCAATGGAAAAATATCCTCTGGTGAGGATTAACAAAGAAATAAAATAAGGAAAAGCAAATCAAAACCACTTCCACTCACTAGGAATCTACTTATATAAAAACCCTGGGTATAACATCACGTCCAGAACCGCAACCAACCGGAAGGAAGTCAGTCCTGCAGGGGTCCTCTTGGAAACAGCTGCACCCTCCCCTCCCCCGCAGCTGTTTCCCGGAGCTGTTTCCTGTAAGGGTGGGGTTTGAGGCAGGAACCCACCCTCGGAGCGTGGAGGCATCTACACTAATAAAAGAAAAACATGGTAATTGGCGTACGACCGCTACCCTTTTCATTGGCTAATCAGTGAGTATATGCAAATTAACTGTCAGCCAAGATGGCGGCCGGCAGCCAGGCAGCTGGAAGCGAGCATGAGGCTTGCTTACTGCAGTGAAGGAGGACTCCAACGTTCCCTGCTTCACTTGCTGGCCTCTGAGCTACAACTCTAAGCAACTATGTACTATGTTGCAAATAAGAAGATAAAACTCCAGAAACCAGCTGGACTGAAAGCCAGGCAGACGTGGCATTGTATCCATGTTTTCAGCAGCGAGGCCTCAGAGCTAAAGCTGGCCCAGAATAAAAAAAAAAAAAGAAAACAAGGAGCGGTTGGAAGCTTCAGTCACTCGCTTCCAGAAAACAGCCCTCAGCCCCTCACCCAGAAAGGCCAGGCACCCCAGTGGGGACCCCCACCCTGATCCAGAACACCCTTCAGGGCAAACCAGCTGGCCCCCACCCGTGCACCAGGCCTCTATCCTATATAGTAAAAGGGTAATATGCCTCCCAGCACCGGGATCAGCGGAGCAGCAAGGCTCCCGGCACCAGGATCAGTGTGACAGGGGGCAGCGCCCAAAACCCCCTGATTGCCCTGCAGCTTGCTCTGTGTGTGACAGGGTAGAGCCATAACCTCTCCATCGGCCCTGCCCTGAGTGTGACAGTGGCGGCGCCCCAACCCCTTGATCGGCCCTGTTCTGTGGGTGATAGAGGGTGGCGCCCCAACCCCCCTCCATGGGCCTTGCTCTGTGTGTGACAGGGTAGAGCCATAACCTCTCCATCGGCCCTGCCCTGAGTGTGACAGGGTGCGGCGCCCCAACCCCCCTCCACGGGCCTTGCTCTGTGTGTGACAGGGTAGAGCCATAACCTCCCCATTGGCCCTGCCCTGAGTGTGACAGGGTGCAGCGCCCCAACCCCCTTATCCGCCCTGCTCTGTGTGTGACAGGGGGTGGTGCCCCAACTCCCCTATCGGCCCTACTCTGTGAGTGACAGCGGGGAGCTCCTCAACCCCCTGATCGGCCCTGCTCTGTGCATGACAGGGTATGGAGCCCCAACCCCCTGATCGGCCCTGCTCTGTGCATGACAGGGGGTGGCGCCGCAACCTCCCCATCAACCCTGCCTTGAGTGTGACAGGGGGCGGTGCCCCAACCCCCCAATCGGCCCTACCCTGAGCGTGACTGAGGGTGGCATGGCAACCTCCCGATCCGCCCTGCTCTGAGCCTGACCAGGGGCTGCACCTAGGGATTGGGCCTGCCCTCTGCCACCTGAAAGCAGGCCTAAGCCAGCAGGTCGTTATCTCCCGAGGGGTCCCAGACTGCGAGAGGGCACAGGCCAGGCTGGGGGACCCCTCCCCCCCCCCAGTGCACAAATTTTTGTGCACTGGGCCTCTAGTATCTTTATAAAGTGTGCCGCGCCAGCACAGCCAAGGGTGAACCTGAGTGGGGGCAGCTGAAAGGCTTAGAAAAGACAGACAAGAGAATGAAATCTGGGTCTCATTGGGAGGCTGCTTCTCTGAGAGACAGCGACCACGCCCACAGCCATGTCTTTATTTTATAGCAGATGCCACAAGGCAAAGTAAGGGCGTGACCAAGATGTTTACAAGATTCTCCTGGGTTTCAATCCTACTCAACTACATGCACCTGAACTCTATCAAGCCCATATTACTCAGGCAGGTGGGGCCACGTGTTCGGACCATAGGTTCAAGCTCACAACTATAGCTGTTGGCTATAATTGTGCTGGGAGGGCCCTGCCCTCCAAGCTGGGACTTGCACATGGCAATGAGAGGACTGTGCCCTCTCATCAGTCCAAGGCTTGAACCTGTCCAAAACACTGTAGCAGCTCTCCACAATAAAGTTTTAATACATTATATTAGAGGTTGTGGTGGTATTGTTTTACCCACAGCGTCTACAGGAATTGCTGCAAATTTACTTCTTGGTGGAAGAACCTTTCATTCCCAATATAAATGACCAATTCAAGCATTCTGAAAGTGTTTTCACTCTTTTTTTTATTATAAATTTTATTGATTTTTTACAGAGAGGAAGGGAGAGAGATAGAGAGTTAGAAACATCGATGAGAGAGAAACATTGATCAGTTGCCTCCTGCACACTCCCCACTGGGGATGTGCCCGCAACCAAGGTACATGCCCTTGACCGGAATCAAACCCGGGACCGTTCAGTCCGCAGGCCGACGCTCTATCCCCTGAGCCAAACCAGTCAGGCTGTTTTCACTCTTAATGTGGTGTACAGGGAGATATTAGAATAAGTTTAATCAATTTATCAGTCAGTTTGCATCACTGTTGTTTTTATATCATGTTTTTGTTGTTTTCATATCATGTTTTTGTCATTTTTATATATTTTATTGATTTTTTACAGAGAGGAAGGGAGAGGGATATAGAGTTAGAAACATCAATGAGAGAGAAACATCGATCAGCTGCCTCCTGCACACTCCCCACTGGGGATGTGCCTGCAACCAATGTACATGCCCTTGACTGGAATCAAACCTGGGATCCTTGAGTCCACAGTGGATAGATCCTCTATCCACTGAGCCAAACCGGTTAGGGCAATTAATTCCCTTTTAATGTGCACGAATTTCGTGCACTGGGCTACTAGTGTTACAATAAAAAAGACAAATAATAAAAAGTGTTGGTGAGGCCCTAACTGGTCAAGGCTGCGGACTCAAGGGTCCCAGGTTCAATTCTGTCAAGAGCATGTACCTTGGTTGCGGGCACATCCCCCAGAAGAGAGTGTGCAGGAGGCAGCTGATCGATGAGTCTCTCTCATCGATGTTCTAACTCTCTACCCCTCTTCCTCCTCCTCTGTAAAAAATCAATAAAATATATTTTTAAAAAAGTGTTGGTGAGGATGCGACGTTGGAACCCTCATAGATTGCTGATGGGAGTGTAAAATGATGCAGGCATTTTAGAAAAAGGTATGGCAGTTCTTTGAAAGGTTAAACATAGAATTACCTGTGACCCAGCAATTCCACTCCTAGCTATATATACCCAAGAGAAATGAAAACATACAACTTTTAAAAATCTGACTACACGATAGCTAAGACACAAAGATTGCATGCAAATATCAATAGCTCATTATTTGCAATAGCCAAAAAGTGGGAACCACCCATCAACTGACAAATGGATAAACAAGATATATTTAGACAATAGAATATCATTCAGCAGTAATTAGAAATGAAGTACTAAGCCATGCTACACAGGGAATGAACCTTGAAGACGTTAAGTGAGAGAAACCAATCACAAAAGACCTCATATTTTGTCTGGTTACAATAATGTGAGATACCTGGAATAGGCAAGTCTTAGAGCAGTGGTTCTCAACCTTCCTAATACCGCGACCCTTTAATACAGTTCCTCATGTTGTGGTGATGCCCAACCATAAAATTATTTTCTTTGCTACTTCATAACTGTAATTTTGCTACTGTTATGAATCGTAATGTTAATATCTGATATGCAGGATGTATTTTCATTGTTATAAATTGAACATAATTAAAGCATAGTGATTAATCACAAAGACAATATGTAATTATATATGTGTTTTCCGATGGTCTTAGGCGACCCCTGTGAAAGGGTCGTTCGATCCCCAAAGGGGTCGCGACCCACAGGTTGAGAACCGCTGTTTAGAGGCAGAAAACAGATTCCTAGTTTGGCTGAGGGCGGGGAGTGGAGGGGGTGGAGATGGAGGTGACTGCTAACTGTGAGGGGCTTCTTTTGTGGATGCTGGAAATGTTCTAAATTTTACTGTGATGGCTGCACAACTGTGCATATACTAAGTATATGAATGCGTCTGGGAATAAATGGTAGTAAAAGCCAGTGAATTGTACAATTTAAATGGGCGAATTGTATGGTATGTGAACTATGTGTCAATGAAGCTATTAATTACTTAATTAGAAAGAGAAAAAGAAAAATGCGAACTGGGCTCAGTTGTCACCTTCTCCAAGTGCCGCCTCCGCCCCAATAAACACTCCAATTTATCCTCTTTCCTCTGTTTTTCTTCACAGCCTGAAATCGTGAGGTGTTTGTGGTTCTCTCCTTTTCCATCTTCCGGTCTCTCCTCCAGGGGAGCCTCTCAAAGGCGGGGCTGCACCAGGTCAGTTCCAGCGCCCCCACTTCCTCCCCGCCCCCCAGGATCTGTAGTGGAGGCAAGGAGACAGGGTTTGAATTTCCGCTACTACGAAACACAAACAGGTCCCCATAATAATAGCAACAACTAGCATTCTAGCGCTTAATGAATGTTACCACTTGTTAATTGCTCTGTGTCTGGCGTTTTACATGGGTTATCCCAGCTAATTATGGTCACATTTCTAGGAGAAACACAGTGGAATTATTCCCATTTTACAGATAAGAATTCTCAGAGATGTGGCTTGAGACCTCCGTAATACACCTCCAGGAAAGGCGCCGCCATCGTATCATAACATCACGCCCACCCTAGAGCTGGTTCCATTTATACTTAAGCTTGGAGGGGGGATGGGGGTGGGATGAAAACGCTATAAGCCGCCACAGAGGTCTCTCCGGGAACCTACCACTCCCCGCGCGCTGCGCGCGCCTACGCACCCTTACGGCCGCGACGGAACAGGAGGGACTATCCGCGTTGCCTCTTGGGAGTTGTAGTCTAATCGCTAAGGAAGACGGGGCTGTAAAGTGATTGGTGCATCTAGAGCCAATGAAGAAACAGATCTGGTTGAGCGCGGGGCCAAGAAGCCAATGGACCTGCGGCTTCGAAAGGGCGGGACTTCCTGTAACGAAGTCGTGGTGAGCGGCTGCGCGAGAGTAGACACTTCCTTTTGTGGGTGGTGGCGAACGCGGGGAGAACGCCATGAAGGCCTCGGGCACGGTAAGGCGGCCGCGACAAGGGAGGGGGCCGAGGAGCGCGTCGTGGATCCAATGGGGGACCCAGGAGGGGTTGTGGGCCGAGTCGGTAGTGCGCGCTCCCGGATGGGACCCGTGCGGTCGCGTGCGGCTGCCCAGAGGTGCAGTCAACATGGCGGCCACTCTGGGCGCCGCGTGGAGAGAGAGGCCGGTTCTTGATCCGGGCCCGTTCGGGGATCGCGGGGTCGGAGGGAGGCTCGTGCTACCAGACCTCGTTGAGTCTCCGGATCTCAGTTGGGTAGTGAGCGTGGTTCTGGGGGCGGCAGTAGTGTTCCCATTTTCCCAGGATGGCCGTGAGAAGTAGAGGAAAGTTATGAACTCGAATTGACGAGGAGATTGCGAGCCTTATCGCTGTGGCAGGTGCTGGGCAGAATCAGAGGGCGCTGTGAGGCAGAGATGGGAGAGTGGGTCCCGGGGAAATACAGGGCGGGGTGCCATGTGCAGCTTTCCAGCCTCAGTTTCCACGCTGGCAAAGGCATTGCGTCGGCCCCTTTAAGAACGGGTGGTCCGCGCGGTTCATGTGGCCGATTCAGAGGTGGAAGTAGCCGAGTTTGCAGTGTTTGGGGCTGCCTTCTCCTGATCTTAATAAAACGATGGCGAGTCGTTTCGGTAAGTGGCTCTTTTCTGCTATGCCGCCGGGCTTCGGTTTGGCAGACACCTCATCTTAGCATCATGTAGACGGGGAACCCACGTCTCCTGGGCACCTGGGAAATGCGGGCAGCTGCAAGCTGCTGGCAGCGGTGCAGGAACCCGGGCTGGAGAGGGAACTGGGTTCTTGTTTCGAGACTACCTGGGGCGGGCTGTGAGATCCCGGGCTGGTTTCTGTCTCAGCCCCAGAGTGAAAGAGAACTTTGGCAAGATGTTCGTGAGCTGCGGAGATTCTGTGGACAAGAAGGTTGCCTGATGGTTCTGAACCTGAGGCTGCAAGTCTAGGCCTCCATTTTGCCACAAGTATAAATAGAAAGGGAGAGACAGTGGGGCTGATGGTCCTGCCCAGCTTTCTGGAGCCAGGGCAACGGGCACACCGCCCTTACTTTTATGGGGAAGGCGGGACAGTGGTGTGACCCACCATCCCCTGGATTCCACCTGGAAGCCCAGGGCTGGGACTTGCCCTCCATCTATCCCCTGATCGACATCACAAGTCTCGGGGAACGAGAGCGAGGCATCTCCACAGTTGCCTGGTTGCTGGTCCTACCTCACCTCTGATTCTGTTTCAGCTTCGAGAGTACAAGGTGGTGGGGCGCTGCCTGCCCACCCCCAAGTGCCACACGCCACCCCTCTACCGCATGCGCATCTTTGCACCTAACCATGTTGTTGCCAAGTCCCGCTTCTGGTACTTTGTGTCTCAACTAAAGAAGATGAAGAAGTCTTCAGGGGAAATCGTCTACTGTGGGCAGGTATGGAGTGTCCAGGACACGGTGGGGTCTGGAGTGGGTTTACACCTCCCATGAGGCAGCCCTGGCCTCACAGGGTTATGGCGCTTCAGAGCCCCTGGTCCTGTTCACAGGTGTAGTTCAGGCCCTAGATCAGGATGGGGTGGGTGAATCTGCTCTTCTCTTAACGAGAAAGCCCAAGGCCTGGGGATGGTGTGGCTGTCGTCCTGGGATGTCTCAGCTGAGGCCACCACCTTCCCTGGACCTCATCTGTGAAGGGGAAAAGGTGCCGTCGCCTGGGCACAATGCCATAATGGGCACTGGACTCTGCATCATGTGGCTACACTGGGTGACAGCTGATCCCCGTGAGGAAAGTGGCCTGGACTACTCTGCACCCCCCACTTTTGCCGTGGAGATTTCTGTGGACAGCAGATTGCCCTCGGTTGTCTGAAGGTTCAGGGCAGTGATTCTCAACCTTGGGTCGCAACCATTTCACAGGGGTCGCCTAAGACCATCGGAAAACAAATATATAATTACATATTGTTTTTGTGATTAATCACAAAAACCCAAGCACCTAAACCCAAGAACTGCTGTTTGCTGTAGCAGCAGTTGAAACAGGTGCTAACAGCAAGTGGATCTTGTCGCCTTTGGGGGCTGTGACTGTGCCCCTCAAAGTGAATTGGAAGGTTCTACACTCCCGGTGGCCAGAGAGGGGTCTCCTAGGCAAGCACCTAAGGGGAGTTTTGAGGAACACCCAGAGACCTAATGCTTTAATTATGTTCAGTTTGTAACAATGAAATTGGGGGTCACCACAACATGAGGAACTGTATTAAAGGGTCGCGGCATTAGGAAGGTTGAGAACCACTGGTTCAGGGGCTGTCCTTGGGACAGCAAGGGTAGAAGTATTGGCTCAGTGAGGGTAGGGGCTGGGGTGGAGGCCCATTTACTACTCTCCCCTCAGCCAGTCTCCTTTTTGGCAGGTGTTTGAAAAATCCCCCCTTCGGGTAAAGAACTTCGGCATCTGGCTGCGCTATGACTCCCGCAGCGGCACCCACAACATGTACCGAGAGTACCGGGACCTGACCACCGCCGGCGCCGTCACCCAGTGCTGTACGTTGTCTTGTGCCACAGCCACGTCCTTCCTTTCAGAGTCATCCTCGACAGACATCTGTCTGACACCTCCCCCCTAGACTGAGGCAGGACAAATGCAGGAGCCTTTTGGGGGTGTGGGGAGTCCCGGGGATGGTGATGGGTGTTTGCTTAGGGGGTAGAAATGCAGAGGATATCCCAGGAACACCTTTTCCTGGAACCTGGCAGCAAGTGGACTTTTGGGGCCAGTCTCTGGTAGAGACACAGCTCCCACCCATTACTGCGTCCAGCCCCTGTCCAGTGTTGGGACCTATAGTGGGCCAAGGTGCTCCCAGGGTGGGCCACCTATCAGGGCTGAAACCCAAGCACCTAAACCCAAGAACTGCTGTTTGCTGTAGCTGCAGTTGAAACAGGTGCTAACAGCAAGTGGATCTTGTCGCCTTTGGGGGCTGTGACTGTGCCCCTCAAAGTGAATTGGAAGGTTCTACACTCCCGGTGGCCAGGGAGGGGCCTCCTAGGCAAGCACCTAAGGGGAGTTTTGAGGAACACCCAGAGACCTTTGTGCCTGTTCACCCTGCAGACCGAGATATGGGGGCCCGGCACCGTGCCCGCGCCCACTCAATCCAGATCATGAAGGTGGAGGAGATTGCAGCCAGCAAGTGCCGCCGACCAGCAGTCAAGCAGTTCCACGTGAGTGCGCTGGGCCCCTGCTGGACTGAGGGGGGCTCCCCGTAGCCTTGGGTCTGACGCAGGAGCCCAGTGGGGCATGTCCACACCTCTGTAGACCTTTCAAAGGACAAGGTTAAGAGGCTTCCACCACACCACCCCCTCACCTGCCTCTCTTTGTCACAGGACTCCAAGATCAAGTTCCCGTTGCCGCACCGGGTCCTTCGTCGCCAGCACAAGCCACGCTTCACCACCAAGAGGCCCAACACCTTCTTTTAGATGCAGGGTCTCTCCGTCCCTTGGTCTGCCCAAATAAACTCTTTGGGAAAGTCGGGTGCTCATACACACTTGTTTTCTTTGCACACCCTGCAGAACTCAAAAGGGCACAGCCAAGCTATGAGTTCTCTGCTCTGAGAGGGGTATTGCTCCAGTGGGGCCCAGACAGGACCCTCAGAAGGGGTGGTGGGAGTCCCAGGAATAGCGAGGGTCTCACTCCCAAGCTCTCCTGCCCACTCAGTTCTTTGAGGCTTTGTCCAGTGAGGATCTGTCATGGGTCCTAGTGTGAGGGCCGAGTTTTCAGCCCTATCAGGCAGCCTCCGCTGTGAGCTTTGAGGGTGCATTGTAGGGCACAGGCTTGGCCCCCAAATCTGTCCCACTGGCCTCCATTTCCCCCCATTCTGGTGGTGAGATGCGGCCGCTGGACCCTGGGGGAAACCAGGACGGTTAGGCTGGTTCTACCTGGGACCTCCCCTCCTGGCCCAGAACCTGGTTCTTGGTTCCAAGGTCTTTCCAGGTTTGTTTGAGGGCATCTGTCTCCAGGAAACCACTGGAAGCCTGGAAAGTGCAGGCACGAAGCTAATCCCACCTGGCTGGGCCCTCAACAGGCCGTGGGAGCGCCTGTCCTTAATGTGTCACCTTGATCCCTCTGAGCACAGGTGTCCAGGCCACCTACCACCTTTACTGATCAGCAGCGCTCAGGGTGGAAGCACCAGAGGCACAGGCTGGGCAGGACCCACCATAGATCAGGAGGGAGCCCTAAGCACAAAAAGGCAGAAAGCCAGTCCTGGGCAGGGAACACAGCTGCTGCCCCACAGAAGGGGAGTAGTGCATGAAAACCAGGTCTCCAACCCACCTGTGGAGCGGCCAGATCCCCGGGGCACAGCGTGTGGCCAGCTGTTCTAAGTGAGATGGGTCTGAGGGTCCCAGCTTTCCGAGGACCTCAGAGCTGCTTTGCTTAGTCAATGATGTTGGGCCCTCTACCTGGGCTGCTCTCCACAGATTATCACTGGGTTCGCTTCAGTAATGTTTCTGAACCATCCTATCTAATAGACAAACATGGTAATAGACTGTACCTTTGCTATGCCTCCCATTGGCTAATCAGTGAGATATGCAAATTAACTGCCAACAAAGATGGCGGTTAATTTGCATAGGTAGGCTCGAAGTGGCGGAGTGAAGACTGAAGGCAGCTCCAGCCGGAAGGCCTGGGTCCGGAGCTAAGGCCTGGTGCCAGAGGAATACCAGTGCCAGCAGCCAGGGGAAGGGAAGGCCTATTGCACAAATCTTTTCGTGCAACAGGCCTCTAGTATATCCATAAGGACAGCTTTCAACCCCCACCAGACAGGGCTGGAACCACATCTGTCACTGTCCCTGGCAGAGCTATAAGTTTGTGGGACCCAGAAAAGGGCAGATGGCCAATGACTATCCCTCCACCTGTGTGTGTCTGCAGCACATGGGCTAACTGTTAAGTTGTTGGGCCAGGTATTTGATTTGGGCACTGCCAGACTACCCTCCATAGATGCATCTAAAGGGTGTCCCAAAATTCACGCAAGAAGTAATTTTGATAGGAAACAGGTTTGTAATTAAAAATTGTAAATTTTTTATTGATTCATAAAGTATACAAGTATAGGGTTATGTATGGAATAGCATATCGGGTAAATGGCCTCCACGGCTTTGCTGGCACATAGGCACTTGTTGAAATTTTCCATGACCGTTTTGCATAAATGTAGCTGAATTTCTTTGATACAGCGCTCAATTTCCTCCTTCAAGGCGTGGGTGGTCATGGGCTTGTTGGCATAAACCTTAGACTTCAAAAAACCCCAAAGAAAAGTCCAACGGCGTTAAATCACATGATCTGGGCGGCCAATTCTGATCACCAAAATGGGAAATTACACGAGCAGGAAATGACTCATGCAGTAATTGAATTGTTTCTCTGGCTGTATGGCATGTGGCACTGTCTTGTTGAAACCACGTCATCCACATCCATATCTTGCAATTTAGGCACAAAAAACTGGATCATCATGTCGCGATAGCGAGCACCATTAAATTCAAATCTTAGGTGAATTTTGGGACACCCTTTATATCCAACAGCGTTAAGGGGCAGGAAGCAGCCAATCGATTCTCATTGTTGGTGTTTCTATCCCTTTCTGAATTCAAATATATATATTAAAAGAGATCCTGGTTTTCCCCAAGTTTGCCAGCACTGGTGGGTTAGTAAACTGATGGCTGAAAAAATCAAATTTTAGGATTGGCTTTCCCCACCTCCCCATGAATTCATTTGTATCATCTTGGCTCATTATTGGGCCGTTGGTTATGGATCTGTAAAACCTTGGAAGAAAAATCTCCCCATGTTGTAAACACGTTTGCCTTGTGGAGTTCCGTTAACTTATTGTGGTTTCTAGCAAAAATTCCTAGTTTCTCCAAATATTCCTTTTCCCCCCTCAGTAATAGGTTCTCCATATCTAGATGCCACCCAGAAAGTTTCCCAGCCTACCTTCCAGTTAGGAGTGGCCATGTGATAGCAGTAGTGATGTGTGCCACTAGCAGGAAGTACCCATACAGTTGGGATATTGCCACAATGCCCAATCCTCCAACAGCCATCCTTGGACACAAGCCACACCAGCAACCAAGTGGGAAGAGCTTGGGTTCCTGACCCTCTGTGCGGCTGCTAGATCTCTCCTGATGTGGCCTGGAGGTGGGCCCTGATGGCTGTGCCTGGAGCAAGTCACTGCCTACTCTGAGCCTGGTTCCTTTTATGTAAAGTGGGAATGGTGATCCTTTAGTTTGGTGGGTGGGGAGGCTTCAGATAAGCTAGAGGTTGAGCATCCAGGATGTACTGCCAGGAATGTGGAAGTTCAGCGTCCCACAAAGGCCCACCAGGCACCTCATCTCCACCTTGGGGTTCCATTGAGGCCTCATCCACACTACGGCCTGGGGACCAGTTGGGAGGGCTTTGCCCCCACTAGCCAAGGTGTGGGGCCAATCCCATTATTGAGGGGCCTTGAACTGAGGATAGTAAGCCCAGCTCCCTATCTTCAACCTGCTCACCCACCCACCCTGCCATTGGCTCATCGTCTTACCGGTTTGCCCACAGACTCCTCTGCCATGTAACCACCCACCTGCCAATTCCCCTCAAACCCTGCAAAGAGCAGCTGGTGGGACACTGGCTGGAGGTGAGGGCCACTGAACCAAGGGTGCTGTGCGGGAACCACCAGGGCAAAGGCCAGAATTGGGAGGAGGTGGGCCCATGAGGCAGGATGGTCCTTGGATTGCTGACACCACTGGTCTGCTCAGAGGACGACAGGAACCCAGTGCACCCTTCCCACTGCCTTAGGTGCTGAGGCATCCCAGGACCCCTTCCTGGGCATGTCCAGGTGCCAGGCGTCTCACCCGGGCAAGGCTGGAAGCCCTGGAGGAGAGAGACAGAACCCCTCCACCCTGACCCACCCTGCACCCAGCTCCTGAGTTAGGACCATCAGGTAGGTACCAAGGCAAGAAGAATGGGGGCCCCAGGAGACCCAGAGACTTGAGAATCAGGATCATAACATTCTCAAGACTGGATCCTGAACTTCTCCAACTGGATGCCCCTGGGCTCTGGCTGGATAGCTCAGTTGGTTAGAGCATTGTCCCAATAAGCCAAGGTTCTAGGTTCAATCCCCAGTCAGGCCACACAAGAATCAATGAATGCATAGATAAGTGGAACAACAAATCTCATTTTTCTCCCTTCCTCTCTGTCTCTAAAACCAATAATCTATACTAATGAAAGGGTAATATGCTAATTAGACGGGATCGACCAGATGTCTTCCAGATGTCTGAAGTCCTTCTGGATAAAGCCGGGCCCGGCCGGGGGAAGCCACCCCAGAGGCAGGGAAGCTGCCCATGGTAGTGGTCCCGGGTGCCTGTGGCCAGCCAGAGGGAGGGAAGCTGGGTCCCGGGTGCCTGCGGCCGGCCGGAGGAGGGAAGCCTGGGTCCCGGGTGTGGGGGCCGAAGCAGAGGCAGTAAGGGGCGATCAGGCAGGCAGGCAGAGGCGGTTAGGGGAGATCAGGCAGGCAGAGTGGTTAGGGGAGATCAGGCAGGCAGACAGAGGTGGTTAGGGGCAATCAGGAAGGCAGAGTGGTTAGGGGCGATCAGGCAGGCAGGCAGAGTGGTTAGGGGAGATCAGGCAGGCAGGCAGAGGTGGTTAGGGGTGTGCAGGCAGGCAGGTAGGCCAGCAGTTAGGAGCAAGTGATCCCGGATTGTGAGAGGGTGCAGGCCGGGCTGAGGGACTCCCCCCTCCCATGCACAAATTTTGTCCACTGGGCCTCTAGTAATAATAATAATAGACTAGACTCCTGGAATCTCACAGTGACAGCACCAGGGGTAATAAAGGTTTGCTTTTACTGAGTGCAAGGTACAAGTTCAAGGACCCGGCAGATCGTGCTGGAGCAAGTAGCTCACAGCCTGACCCTTGCCATGTCTCCAGGGAGCCATGGGAGGACAGGATGCCCAGGACAGCAGATAAGGTGACATCCCAATACTCCTGCCCCTTTTGCTTAGACTGCAGCTGCTGGGTCTTCAGGACTGCCTTACCCCTTCATATTCCTCGGCCCTGCCTGCCTCCTTCCCATTAAGGTGCTACTTCTCTCCACCCTGCTCCCTGCCCCCCTCCATGCTTCCTGCCCCAACTCCCCAGCAGGCACAGGAGATGGCCCTGCCTACCCCCAGGGCTCCCAACTCTGAACCTCCTCCTCTCACGCCCTGAAATTCCGGAACATTGTGAATCCGCACATTTCTCCCATCTCATTAGGTCTGTGATTAGATCTGCCCCGCTAGGCCCCACTGATTAGATCCCTCATTTGCTCCAAACTCTCCAGTGGCTTCCCAGTGCCCTTGGAATAAAATCCACATCCCCCACCAAGCTCAAGATCCCCTGGTGGCCCTCCCTGCCCAGCTCCTTTCCACCCCTGGCCCTTCCCCCAGCCTGGCTCATTCTCTGCTAGTAAGTCTCCACTCACCACCCAGAAAGTGCCCCACCCACAGGCTCCACCTATGGTTGCCCCCAGGCCATCATTCTTGTCATCCAATCGCTTCCGAGATGGGTATTCATCTGCTGGCTGGGTCAGTGTCCCGATCCTGTGTGCCCGATGGGCCCACCTGGGTCCCCAGCGCTTGGTGCAGGGCCTTGTGCACAGTAGGTGCTCCATGAACAGGCCTCCAGGGTAGGGTAGGGGAAGACTCATGCTGACACCAAACGGTACCCCCTCCAAGAACCTCCCTGGGGAGACAGGACAGGTTTGCATATGTTTTAATTTGTTCACATGACTTTTCCGGAAAAGAGATCCCTGCCTGGATTTCCCCTTTCCCAGCAGGTTTTCCAGGAAGATGTCTCGCCTGGGCCTGGAAAAATAATGGAGGCGGGAGGAAGAGGAACTGGTGTCCTCCACATCGTCCCGGCGTAGGCGGAGGGGGCAAGCCAGCGAGCCACAGATGGCCGTGTGACAGTTGCGGTGCCGGAGCCCTAAGAGAGGGGCCTACACATCACATATATAATGAGAAGCGAGTCCCGGGGGACACTCGTGAAGGCGCCTCCCCCCACCCCGTTCTCACTGCCCCCTCCCCCCCCCCCACGCCCGTACCCCGCACATTGGACTCAGCTGGGGCGGCGCATGTAGGCCAGAGGGGGCCACCAGGGGGCGACAGAGGCCGGTGAGGACTGCGGGGGCCCTAGCATTCCACCCGCGGATTTTTAGGTCCCGCCCCCTTACCGAGGAAGGTACCGAGCTTTTCCAGGGCGAATCAGAGGTTGGAGCCACCAGAGGCCAAAGTCCTTTCTGGGCCCCCCCGGCGAAGGGCCCCAAAATGACAGTGTCTGGGTACCTGGGCGGCATGACCCCAGGCAAGGGACTTCCCGGCGCAGTGTCCTCATTTGTGTGATGGGCACTCGCCTGACGCCACCTTCCCAGGTAGTCGTGGGTCTACCACTTACTCGGGTTCGTGGCCACCGACAGCCCCTCCGCGCGACCTTCGTTGTACTGTGCGCCCGACACAGGCAGATGCTCTGTGCGTGTTTGACAAGGAGCCAACGAATAAATTAGGGATTGACGGGAAAGGCTCTTAGTCTGCGCCAGGTTTGTGTCCTGCGGGTTCAGTTTACTCCTCTGGGGCAGGGGCTCCTCTGTCCCTACTTCAGACGGGAAACGGGCCCATACGCCCCTCTTCCAGGGCGTATGCACTAAGGACTTGGCCCCCATGTCTTCCATGCGGCTTAGCCCGAGGGTGGGGTTGGTGATGCGCTCCCGCTAGGCTCTAGAGAACGGGGAGTCCAGTTGGAGAAGGGGTTCAACCGAGCCCAGTTCTCCAGCGGTTCTCAACCTGTGGGTTGCGACCCCTTTGGGGGTCGAACGACCCTTTCACAGGGGTCGCCTAAGACCATCGGAAAACACATATATAATTACATATTGTTTTTGTGATTAATCACTATGCTTTAGTTATGTTCAATTTGTAACCCTGAAAATACATCCTGCATATCAGATATTTACATGACGATTCATCACAGTAGCAAAATTACAGTTATGAAGTAGCCACGAAAATAATGTTATGGTTGGGGGTCACCACAACATGAGGAACTGTATTAAAGGGTCGCGGCATTAGGGAGGTTGAGAACCAATGCCCTAGAGGACCCCGCAGCCTTGAAAGCGAACCCCAGTCCTGTGCGAGAGTGAGCCCCGGTAGCTCAAAGGCCCTCCAGCACAGCGGGGCTTGAATGCCGAGGCCACTGCTCCCAGCTGTGCGGCCTCGGGGGAGTGACAGCCACCTCTGAGCCTCAGTTTCCCGCACCAGGCAACGGGAGCCGGGAAGAGCCAGGGTGGAGCGCCGGCGAAGCCTCCCGCCCCAACACCCAGCACACACTCACGTGACCGACCCGGTCCAGGGAGGAAAGAGTGCGGGCAGGTCCGGGGGTGGAGTTTTGCTGACCTGGGCGGGAGCCCAATAAATCCGCAGCCCGCGGCCTGGGGCCGCCCCTTGAAGCCCCACCGAGACCTCCTGCTGTCAGCGCTGGGCGCGCCTCCCTGGGAGAGGGACAGAGCCCGACGGAGCGGGAGGCGAGGTGCACGGACAGACAGACGGCGGAGGCAACCGCGTAGACGGAAAGGAGAGCTAGGGAGGCAGCGGGCCACGGCGAAGGCCGCCAGGAACCGAAGGGAACAGGCGTGCGCCTCGCGGAGGAGGCCGAGCATCCTCCACCGCCGCTCAGCCCCGGCCTCCGCCGCCGCCTGCTCCCGGGCGCGCGCGGGGTGGGCGGGGTCGCGCCTGGTCCCTGCACCTGCACCTGCACCTGCCCTTCATGGCCACCGTCGGGGCGGGCGCGCGGGGCACCTTTGGAGCCTGGGACTATGGGGTCTTCGCGCTCATGCTCCTCGTGTCCATGGGCATCGGGCTGTGGGTGGGGCTGGCGGGGGGCGGACAGCGCAGCGCGGAGGACTTCTTCACGGGGGGCCGGCGCCTGGCCGCCCTGCCCGTCGGCCTCTCGCTGGCCGCCAGTTTCATGTCGGCCGTGCAGGTGCTGGGCGTCCCCGCGGAGGCCTACCGCTACGGCCTCAAGTTCCTCTGGATGTGCCTGGGCCAGCTGCTCAACTCCCTCCTGACCGCTGCCTTCTACCTGCCCGTCTTCTACCGCCTGGGCCTCACCAGCACGTACCAGGTACTGGGCAGAGGCCGGGAGCCGGACCTGCCTGGCTGGGGACGCGGGGATGCAGTGGGGGAGCCCTGGGGCGGCGGGCCGCTGTGCAGGGGTACACAGAGGGGCTTCTTGGTGCTTTCGTGCCCGCCCCCACCCCTTAGGCATCCAGGTGGGCAGGGTTCTGGGAAGAAGCCCCAGGCAGTGAGGCCAGGGCAGGAAGGAGGAAGAGGAGCCCTGTCCTGGTTCTCTTCGGTGGAAGCCCGCAGGGGGTGGGGCCGGGCTTGCACTCACCTGTGGACAGGTGCGCACCTGCCCCCCACATGCCTCAGCATGTCGATGCCTGAGTGCTGTCGGACGGACGGCGGGCTGGAAATTCCAAACCTGACTTCCCCTCTGTCTCCTACTTGGGCTGGGGGCAGGCCTGTGTCCAGATTTCCCACGTGTCCAACCCGGCTAATTACAGGACCTTCCTTAGGCAGTGGGTGAAGTGATTAAAATCGAGGCTAATAACGGTTGGCCACGAGTGTGTGTGTGGGGGGGGGGGGGACGTGTACGCACATGCTGTGGGCACAGGCATGGAGGTGGTGGGTGTGCACAGGTGTGCGCGGACGGTGGGAATGTGTGCACTTGGTAGAGGTTCCCACGGGCAGGAGTGCAGAGAGCAAAGCTGTCCTCTGGAGAGAGGGCAGAAGCCAAGGGGGCGGGTGAAGGAACCCCGAGGTCTGGAGCCCCGAGGTAGGATCTGTCCAGGTGACCACGAGCCCTCGGCTCCTCCTTGCAGTACCTGGAGCTCCGTTTCAGCCGGGCGGTGCGGCTCTGTGGGACCCTGCAGTACCTGCTGGCCACAGTGAGTGGCCTGGGCCCTGCCCTCTCCCCCAGGGTCCTGCCTTCGTCGGCCCCGCCCACAGCCCTCCCCCATCCTCCCCCACCTACCCCTGTGGGTCCCATCTCCACCCAGCAAGGCTCAGCCCGTGCCCTGCCCACTTCCATCAGGTCTACAGGTTTGGTCTGCCGGCCTCCCCCTTATGCCAGCCCTGACCTGACCTGACCCCGCCCCCACTTGCCCGCCCCCGCCCACCTGCCTCCTCTCTACCCCAAACACCCTCCTTCTCCCATCTCTGATTCATTCCCAGTCACCACAACCACTACCCTCCCCCTCTCCCCCCTGCAGGTGCTATACACTGGAATCGTGATCTACGCCCCTGCACTCATCCTGAACCAAGGTTTGGCTCTGAGAGAGAGAGAGAGAGAGAGAGAGAGAGAGAGAGAGAGAAGAGAGGGGAGGGTGTCTGGGGAGGGTGTCTGCGATGCGGCAAAGGCTTACAGGCTATCCCAGAGGAGGCGGCAGGGGCTGTCCCAGGGACCCTGGGGAGGGAAGACTCCTGGAGGGAGAAGAGCCCAAGACACTGGAGTCCAAATCTGCACCCCACTTGGTGGCCTAATGGGGGGGATTTCCTTGAACAGTGACCGGGCTGGACATCTGGGGGTCACTCCTGTCCACTGGAGTCATCTGCACGTTGTACACCACTGTGGGGAGTGACCCCCCCCCCCCCCCCCGCCAACCCCACTTGGGGGCTTCATGCCCGCTGGATAAGGGAGACCCTGGGCTGGCTGTCTACACTCCCTACTTTTCCTTCCTCCTGAGGAAGCCCCGTGTCAGCTAGGCCGGTTTCCTCATCTTTATAATGAAAGAATATTTGAAAGGCTTATTGGTTAAGGTCCAGGGATAAGGTCGCTTCAGGCCTGGCTGGATCCAGGGGCTACAACAGTCCTCTGTGTACCGCTCCCATCTCTAGGGGCTCCATCAGCTCCATGCATCCATCCCTTTGGCAGAAAGTGAGTTCCTGTTTCAGGATGGGCTGGCCAAAGTCCGGGAGGGCTCTGTTTAGCCGGCTTTGGTCTTGTGCACAGAATGAACAGAAGTTTGGGGGGCTGGGATATTCTTTTTTAATTGAATTTATTGAGGTGACATTGGTTAATAAAGGTATATAGGTTCGGGGTGTACAGTTCTATAATGCACCATTTGTACGTTGTTGTGTGTTCACCACCCCAAGACGTCTCCTTCCATCACCACTTACCCCCTGAGGCCCTCTTCCACCTCCCCACCCTCCCCGGCCTCCTTGGGAATCGCCATGTTGTTGTCTGTGTCTAAGAGGTTTTTGGTTTTGTGGCTTAATCCCTTCACCTTTTGGGGTTCGGATATTCTCATTGGCTATTCTTGGAGCTGGGAGCAGGACTGGCCTCACCTGAACAGCCTATGAGGGAAAAGGGGCTTCTCCAGAGGAAAGTGCAGGGGCTGCCGTGGGAATGTAAAGGCGTGGAGGCCGGGAGGGTAAAGGCAGCAGGGAATAATAATGGTGATAGTCATCATAGCAGCAGCCATCACTCACTCACTCACTCACTGAACACTTATATGCGCCATTCCAAATATTTTTCTCATACTAACTAATTTCATTCTTACATCACCATAAGGAGAGTGCTGTTATTTGTTTTAATCGAGTCTAGAGAGAGGAAAGGGGAGGAGAGAGAGAGAGAGAGAGAGAGAGAGAGAGAGAGAGAGAGAGAATCATCCATTGGTTGCCTCCCGAATGCACCCTGACAGGAAATCCAACCCCTGCCCCAACCGGGAATCAAACTCACCACCTTTCCTTGTATGGGACGACACTCCAACCAACTGAGCCACACCGGCCAGGGCAGGAGAGTACTGTTCTTAACCCTGCTTTACAGATAGGAAACAGGCAGAAGGGGGCATTGGTCCAGGCTACTGCTGGAGGCCAGGCCAGACTGGCCCCAGCCAGGTCTCCTGTCTGCTCCCTCTTTGCCTCACTCTGTCCTGTCTTGCAGGCCCCAGACAGGTCTCTGTCTGACCCCCTCTCTCCCTCTCTGTCACATCCTGCAGGGCGGCATGAAGGCTGTGATCTGGACCGATGTGTTCCAGGTTTTGGTGATGCTGGCTGGCTTCTGGGTTGTCCTGGTTCGCGGGATCATGCTTGTGGGCGGGCCCAGGCAGGTGTTCAAGCTTGCCCAGAACCACTCCCGGATCAACCTGATGGAGTGAGTGAAACTGTAGAGGGGGATAATGCAAGAGGATGGAGCTGGCATCCCTCTGCCCTGGGAGAAGCCAGCCAATGCCTACTGCTCCAGGAAGCCCCCCCCCCTGAATCCCTCCCCAGTCTCCCCAAAGATAGCACCCTGGCTCCCCTTCTCTGTACTCCCCCACCCCCACCTCCGGCCAGACTGGAAACTGAAGGCTCTCTGAGGTCCCAGATGGGCACAGAAAGAATGGTTCTGGAGCACAAACACAGATGACTCAGTAAACAAATAAATGAATTTCAATCAGGCAAACTCCTACTCACACTTCAAAACCCATCCCAAATGTCCCCTTAAGGCCCTTAAGGGTAATGGCCATCTGGGGCCCTTGGGAAAGTGAATTCAATGTGGTATCCCACATGGATGGCTTGCCCTGCCCTCATCCAGCTTTGACCCAGACCCGCGGAGTCGGTACACATTCTGGACTCTTACGGTGGGCGGCACGTTGGTGTGGCTCTCAATGTATGGCGTGAACCAAGCACAGGTGCAGCGCTATGTGGGTTGCCGCACAGAGAAGCAGGCCAAGCTGTAAGTGTTTGGGGGAGGGGGCAGGATGGGGGTCTCTAGGATGCACCGCCCCCCCCATCCCCAGCCTGAGGCACACCTCCCCACAGGGCCCTGCTCATCAACCAGCTGGGCCTGTTCCTGATTGTGTCCAGTGCTGTTGCTTGTGGCATCGTCATGTTCACACTCTATATGGACTGCGACCCCCTCCTCACAGGGCGTATTTCTGCCCCCGACCAGGTGAGTCTGGTCCAGGCTCCTAGGCCACTCCTGACCCCACCCCCCTCTGAATCTCTATATGGATGAATCTCTGGGGGTGATGGTAGAAGAGCTTTCCTAGCAGCCTGTGCAAAGGTGCAGACAGGAGAGAGTTTGGCTCAGAGGAGGATCTGGGAGGCGATGAGGAGCCATGGTAGATGTGAGCAGGAGAGGGGCACATTCAGACCTCGAGTCGGACTCCCTGAGGGGTATCAAGAAGATGGGACCGTGGTCCAACGCACAGTGATGGTGTTAATAGTAATAATAATGACCAGCTCCCGTGTGCCAAGCACCGACCCTATGCCTCATGCCGTTCCCTCCCTTCACAAGAAGTTAGTGTCCCATCCAATCCTTCAATATGTGATAAGGCCAAGGATGTCATGGTGCCCACTTTACAGATGAGCAAACTGAGCCTGGAGAGGGTAGGAGGCAACTGTCTAAGGTCCGCAGGCAAGTCAAGGGCAGCTCTAGTTACAGGGCACAGAGTGGACAGAGGCTGCAAGGCTGTTGCATCTGCCATCCTCTGGGGTCAGAATCCTGCCTGCAACCTCAGGCGGGGCTGCACCTTTCAGCCTCACTGTCCTCGTCCATAAAGCGATGACACGGGGCCCTGCCTCACCGGGACCCCGTGGCTCTGTGCGTGGCGGGGCTCAGTGGCAATCACAGGTGCGTGCGGCCCATCCACAAACACACACTGAGTGACCACTGTGAGCCCGCTCTGCACTGGGCGCTGGGGCCGTGCAGGGTGAGGACAGACAAGCCCCAGCCTCTGGGTGCTCCTGTCCCGGAGGCTGACCCCCTCCTCCTCCCAGTACATGCCCCTGCTCGTGCTGGACATCTTCAAGGACCTGCCTGGAGTCCCTGGCCTCTTCCTGGCCTGTGCCTACAGTGGCACCCTCAGGTGAGTGGCCCTGCTTGCTCGCCCAGCCTGTCCCAGCCCCTCAGAGCCTTGTCCCTACCAGCCGCCCCTCTTCGGGACAGAATGCTCTGGACCGTGCCTAACACTCACAGTTCCTGCTTGGTTCCCAGCAGCAGCTCGGGTGGGTCTGGCAGAGGGCACACCCTGGGCACAAGGACCCCAGCTGTGGGGTCTTCGCCTCAGTACCTGGCAGCCACAGCTGGCTCCCGTCTTCCTTCCCCCTCTCCATCCTTCTTCCCTAAACAACTGTTTATTGAGAACGACTCTGCTTTAAAGCTGCTGTTTTAAATCCTGGGGGCACTGCCGTGACCAAGTCGTCCCCCTCTCCTGCCCTCATGGGCCTCACATTCAGGTGGTTTTAAGTCTTCCATGACTTCTGGCCACAGGGTGACAGAGTCCCGGGTGGCAGGTCTCTGCAGCCCATTATGACTCTGTCACAAGAACGTGTGTCATCCGTGTCCCTGGTTATGGGTATCCCTGCTCCTGTGTGTGTGTGTGTGTGTGGGGGGGCGGGGTCTCAAGTCTGTGGATGGGGGTAGGGTAGGCCTCACCTCCACTCTTAGGGGAGTCTGTCACCCATGCCTCTGCCCTTGGCTAGGTGGGGTCCTGGCAGGCCAGACGGTGTGGCCAGCAGGGGGATCCCCAGCAGGTGGGCCCCAGAGGTGGCTGGCCAGTCTCCGGATATGGCCTGACCACACCCCCCTCCCCCCGCCCCCCAGCACCGCGTCCACCAGCATCAATGCCATGGCGGCGGTCACGGTGGAGGACCTCATCAAACCGCGGCTGCCCGGCCTGGCGCCCCGCAGGCTCGTCATCATCTCCAAGGCGCTCTGTGAGTTGGGGGGATCTGGGTGGGGGGCCAGGGCAGCCTCTCCCCACTGACGGTGCCTCCCCTCGCTGCAGCGCTCATTTATGGCTCGGCCTGCATCTCCGTGGCGGCTCTGTCTTCACTGCTGGGGGGCGGGGTCCTCCAGGTGAGCCCTCGCCCCGAGAGGTCGGGCACCTTCTGCCTTGCACTGAGGTTAGAGGGGCTCACACCCTCTCTGGGTCCCGTCTGCCACCCGCGGAGGGATACTGCCTGCAGCCGCCTGGGAGGAGGGGGGGAGGGGGAGGCGGTGGCCTGGGGGCAGGAAGGGACTGGACTTGGGATGGGATCGATCGCACCCGCATGCATCCGTTAGGGGAGAGAATGGGCGAATGGGCCTCTTTGCCTCCAACCCAGGGAGACAGAAACAGGGCTTCCCCTCCCCTGGGGAAACTGAGGCACAGAGGATCTCA